AACAATCCAGTTAAGAAGTGGGCAAAGGACTTGAATAGGCATTTTTCAAAGGAAGAAATTCAGATGGCCCACAGACACATGAAAAAATGCTCAGGATTACTAGCCATCAGGGAAATGCAAACAAAACCACAATGAGGTTTCACCTCACCCCAGTAGAATACCACTCAAACAGAAATCAAACAAAACGATAATTGCTGGCAAAGATGAGGGGGTAAAAGGTACCCCAATCTACTGTTGGTAGAAATATAAACTAGTACAGCCAGTGTGGAACACAGTATGGAAATACCTCAAAAAGTTGAAAGTAGATCTACCATATGAGCCAGCCATCTTACTCCTGGGAATTTACCCAAAGGAAATGAAGTCAGCATATGAACATTATTTGTGCCCCATGTTTATTGCAGCTCAGTGCACAATAACTAAGATATGGAATCAACCCTGATATCTATCAACTGTTGACTGGATAAAGAAATTATAGTATATTTACAAAAATATGAAATCCTATCTTTTGCAACAAGATGATCACAACTGCAAACCATTATATTTAGTGAAAAATCCCCCAAAACAGATATCATATATTTTCCCTGAGCTGAGGTAACTAAAATGTACCTGAAATGCAATCTATTGGAGTGAAATAAACATTTTGAGAATTGTTGATTGCTTATAGCCCTTGTCTCTTCAATTGATTAACAGTATTTTGCTTTGCTTTGCTTTGCTTTGTTTAGTTTCTCTTCATACTATGTTGAACTATTTTACTTAGATTAAGGTTAACTATATGACCATTAAGTATACTGAAAATCGATCATTGTAAAAATTAAAAGTGGGAATCCAAGAGGGAGGGGGAGGAAGTGCCAGTATGTTACTAAATCTGTACATATGAAATATATAAGACTTTAAAACTTAAATAAAATTTAAAATAGAAACTATAATGCTAGTTTTCAAACGAGGCTTTAAAAAGAATTTTGTTAAATAACCTAAAAATAATTTACTGGGGCTGGTGCTGTGGCATAGTGGGTAAAGCCGCTGCCTGCAGTGCTGGTATCCCATATGGGTGCTGGTCGAGTCCTTGCTGCTCCACTTCCGATCCAGCTCTCTGCTATGGCCTGGGAAAGCAGTGGAAGATGGTCCAAGTAATTGTGCCCCTGCACCCATGTGGGAGACTCGAGGAAGCTTCTAGCTCCTGGCTTTGGACAAACTTAGCTCTGGCTGTTGTGGCCATTTGGGGAGTGAACCAGCGGATGGAAGACCTCTCCCTCTCTCTCTCTGCCTCGCCTTCTCGCTCTGTGTAATTCTGACTTTCAAGTAAATAAATATTTTTAAAAATATCTTATTTACTTTGTGATTTTGTTTCTTTTATTTCATGCATTTGACTCCCCATACTGTCAAAAATGTCTATGGCATAATAAAGCTTATAGCCTTCTATGTTGAAATAATGGGAGAATGAGTGAGTCCTTTATGCAGGAGCAGAGAATGTGGTATCTTTTTTTTTTAAAGATTTATTTATTTACCTGAAAGTAAGAGTTACACAAAGAGAGAAAGAGAGGCAGAGAGAGAGAGAGAGAGGGGTCTTCCATCCACTGGTTTACTCCCCAGATGGCCACAACAGCTGGAGCTGTGCTGATCCAAAGCCAGGAGCCAGGAGCTTCCTTCGGGTCTCAAAGTGGGTACAAGGCTCCAAGGACTTGAGCCATCCTCCACTGCTTTCCCAGGCCATAGCAGAGAGCTGGATCAGAAGTGGAGCAGCCAGGACTAGAACCAGCACCCATATGGGATGCCGGCACTGCAGGCGGCAGCTTTAACTGCTATGCTACCATGCCAGCCCCTATGTGGTGTTTTTAGTTAGGTTACTAACTGGCTGTGTGCCTTGGACAAGTTACTGAAGTTTGTAAGTTTGTGTGAGACATACTTAATGGCATAGTGCGTGTCATACAGTTGATGTCCAGTGTCTGCTAGTGTTTACTGTTCTTATTAAGACCTTCCAAATCCTACCTCTTTTTTAAACTTTTATTTAATAAATATAAATTTGCAAAGTATAACTTTTGGATTATAGTGGTTCTTCCCCCCATAATCTCCCTCCCACTTGCAACCATCCCATCCCCCACTCCCTCTACCATCCCATTCTTCATCAAGATTAATTTTCAATTATCTTTATATACAGAAGATCAATTTAGTATATACTAAGTAAGGATTTTAACAGTTTGCACCCACACAGAAACACTAAGTATAGAGTACTGTTTTAGTAGTAGTTTTACCATTAATTCACATAGTACAACACATTAAGGACAGAGATCCTGCATGGAGAGTAAGTGCACAGTGACTCCTGTTGTTGACGCAACAATTGACACTCTTGTTTATGGCGTCAATAATCACCCTAGGCTCTTGTCATGAGCTGTGAAGGCTATGGAAGCCTCTTGAGTTCGCCAACTCCGATCTTATTTAGCCAAGGCCATAGTCAAAGTGGAAGTTCTCTTCTCCCTTCAGAGAAAGGTACCTCCTTCTTTGATGGCCCATTCTTTCTACTGGGATCTCACTCACAGAGATCTTTCATTTAGGTCATATTTTTTGCCAGAGTGTCTTGGCTTTCCATGCCTAAAATACTCTCATGGGCTTTCTAGCGAGATCTGAATGCCTTAAAGGCTGATTCTGAGGCCAGAGTGCTGTTTAGGGCATCTACCATTCTATGAGTCTGCTGTGTGTCCTGCTTCCCATGTTGGATTGTTCTCTCTTTTTTAATTCTATCAGTATTAGCAGACACTATTCTTGTTTATGTGATCCCTTTGGTTCTTAGTCCTATCATTATGATCAATTGTGAACTGAAATTGATCACTGGGACTAGTGAGATGGCATTGGTACATGCCACCTTGATGGGATTGAATTGGAATCCCCTGGCACGTTTCTAACTCTACCATTAGGGGTAAGTCCGAGTGAGCATGTGCCAAACTGAACATCTCCTCCCTCTCTTATTCCCACTCTTATATTTAACAGGGATCACTTTTGAGATAAATTTAAACACCTAAGAATAATAGTGTGTTAATTGTAGTGTGTTAATTAAAGAGTTCAACCAATGGTATTATGTAGAACAAAAAAATACTAAAAGGAATAAAGTGGTAAGTTGTTCCTCAACAGTCAGGACAAGGGCTGATCAAGTCACTGTTTCTCATAGTGTCCATTTCACTTCAACAGGTTTCCTTTTTGGTGCTCAGATACTTGTCACCCATCAGGGAGAACATATGATATTTGTCCCTTTGGGACTGGCTTATTTCCCTCAGCATGATGTTTTCCAGATTCCTCCATTTTGTTGCAAATGACCGGATTTCATTTTTTTTACTGCTGTATTGTCGCTCCCCCTCTTCGTGGAGGAACGACACTAAGCCCTGCCTAGGCTTCATATCCGAGTCACGGCACCATTATGTCGCTCCCCCTCTTCGTGGAGGAACGACACAGGACCCTGCGCTGTTCTTTCTGTCTGCTCGGCCCTCCCCGGGTTTGCTGCTGGTTCTTCCCGGGTTGGCTACTATCCCTTCCACCTCCGTGGAAGGGCAGTTCCCCCTGGCCACATTCCCCACTTCCGCAGGGGAGCGGCACACCACCGGCCAGCTCTCTCGGGGGCTGCACAGGTGTTCCTTCAGCTAGATGTTCCCCTTAGACGTTCCCCATAGATGTTCCCGGTGCATGCCGTCTCTCTCCTCCTTTATAGTCCTCCTCCGCCAATCCTAACTCGGCTGCCCACACGCCGAGCACGCTGCTCTCCAATCAGGAGCAAGTCCTACAGTTTATCAGTTGAACTGGAGGCAGCTGTGCGGAAGCTGTTTACTTCTCTCCCAACGCCACATTGTGGGAGAGCAGATGCATAGAATAAGTCCTAACTCCAGTAACTCAGTCTAGTCCGGTTTGCTCCCCACACTGTATAGTGTTCTATAGAGAACATATTCCATGATTTCTTTATCCAGTCTTCTGTTGATGGGCATTTAGATTGATTCCAAGTCTTAGCTATTGTGAATTGAGCTGCAATAAACATTGAGGTGCAGACAACTTTTATTTGCCAACTTCATTTCCTTTGGGTAAATTCCAAGGAGTGGGATGGCTGGGTTGTATGGTAGGGTTAATTCCGGTTTCTGAGGAATCTCCAAACTGACTTCCTTAGTGGCTTTACCAGTTTGCATTCCCACCAACAGTGGGTTAGTGTCCCTTTTTCACCACATCCTCGCCAGCATCTATTGTTGGTAGATTTCTGAATGTGAGCCATTCTAACTGGGGTGAGATGAAACCTCATTGTGGTTTTGATTTGCATTTCCCTGATTGCTAGTGATCCTGAGCAGTTTTTCATGTGTTTGTTGGCCATTTGGATTTCCTCTTTTGAAAAATGTCTATTGTAGATTCTGGTTATTAATCCTTTATTGGTTGCATAGTTTGCAAATATTTTTTTCCATTCTATTGGTTGCCTCTTCACTTTCCTGACTGTTTCTTTTGCAGTACAGAAACTTCTCAATTTGATGCAATCCCAATTGTTAATCCTATTCTCTTTTCAACTTAACTTTGCTGAAGAAGATCTGTAATTCTTCACATTCGCTATTCGGTCCCTTTTGGGCTGTCTAGACTGACTCAAGATTCTATAGAGAACATTGCATTGGTTACTAAATTCTAGCTTTAATATCAACTATATATATATGATTTTATCCTTATTGATTTTAGTCAGCTCTCCAATTAACATATATGCTGATACAATAAAACACAAGTGAGCAGTTATAAAATAAAGTTTGGGGATTAGTGAAATCAAGTTCGTGCCAGATGTCTGAATTGTTCAGCCTATGGTCGGAGCTACCATGTGCGCTAGAATTATTATCAAGTATACGTGAAAAAATTCTGCTGATTATATATTTTTGGTAATTGCTTTTTCTGGAATACTAATGCATTTTTAAGATACAATGTTTAACATAGTTCTGTTATCTCTCTCTTTGAAGCTTTTCCTTAGTATCTTAATCTGTTTTTTGCTGGTATTGCAGGATATCTGAGACTGAGTAGTTTACACTGAGCATGAATTTATTTCCCAGAGTTCCAGAGGCTCATAAGTCCGAGAGTAAGGCAGCAGCATCTGGTAAGAGCGTTCTTGCTACATTATCACATGGTGGAATGCAAAAGGGCAGAAGAGGGGAAAGAAAGCCAAACTTAGCCTTTTAAAAATTTATTTTATTTTATTTGAGACACACACGTACAGAGTGAGAGAAAGACAGAGAGAGAGATACCCACAACAGACGAGGCCCCCAACCAGGCCAGAGACAGAAAGCAGGTCTCTCACATTTGTGACAGGAAGCCAAGTGCTTGGTGTATCACTGCTGTGTCCCAGGATACACATTAAGAGAAAGCTGGATCAGAAGCAGAGCTAGGACTTAAATCAGGCAAGCCAACATGGGATGTGGGAGTCCTGGCTACTGTACCAAAGGCCCCGTCCCTCAGCCACTCCCTGTTAACAGACTTCATCCACTCAAAAAGAAGACTGTCCCCTGTCCTAATCACTCTTCAAGGTCTCACCTCTTAAAACTGTTGCATTGGGATTAAGTTTTTGATATATGCCTTTTGGAGGACACATTCAAACCCTATCAATTAATAACAACATATCTACCAGTCTTATTATTGAAATGTATTTGGAATATCTTCAGTGTATCTGTGAAATTTTTAAATCATCATCTAGTGTGTATTCTAATTAGGTGATGTTCTCTCTTGTGGCCATTCCTTTTGATTAGCCGTTGGATACAGGATGTTTCATTTTCTAATGTTCAGGGAGAACACAATAATACTAAATGTATTATTGACTAGAGGAAGGCCTGTAACAGAGACTCCAAAGATAATGGCGGCTTGTCTCACACAAGTAACAGGACAAGTAAACATTCTCTGTTTCCCAAAGTCATCCAGGGACCCTGCCTAGATGGGCAGCTGTGGAACATGGTCATCTGCATGCTTAATTCTGACTGTGTGTACATGTAGGTTTCAGTCAACAGTAAGAGGAACAAAGTGGGAGGGTCACCCACTACCTCACAGCCTGGGATATTCAGTGGGACATATCAATCAGATTCACAATTAGCTTTATTTGTTTATTTCTGATAGTTTATTTGTTGTATTGGAAATAAAACATATTTAGATTATCAAGTTTTTCTTTTCCTTCCTTTTAGTTAGTTAGGATGAGAGCAAGAGGGAGGGAGACAGAGCTCCCATTTGCTGATTCACTCTCCAATTGCAAACCATGGCCTTGGAGCTGAAGCCAGAAGCTGGGAGCTCAATCCAGGTGGCTTGTAGGAAACCCAGTTACTTGGGCCATCACCAGAGTCTCCCAGGGTCTGCATTGTCTGGAAGCTAGAATCGGGCACTGGAGCAGGAGCCAAAGATTGACCCCAGGCACTTGTAACATGGGATGCAGACATCCGAACTGGCATTGTACCTGCCAGGGAAAGCACTTGCCCTTACAGTCTTCTTGGGAAATGTAAGAATGGCTGTACCTGTCTGCTAGGTGAAGGAGGGAACAGATTCTGCTGGATGCCCAGCATTCTCCAATGAGGAATGAGTTTCTATTTAAAAAAAGAAACTGAGAGTTTACAGAGCACTTTTATGCATGTTTTTTTTATTTTCACCCAACAAGATTGAATGTATCAGACAGCTGGAATTTCTCACACATATTTCCAAAGTAAAATATATCTCTAAGCAGTCATTATTGAAAGCTTTATGCTACATTTTTGGGGGATTCATAAAGTAATGCCTGAACCCTTGCCTTCCCCCAAAGAGCTTCCATAGGAAATAGGAACTCAGAAAAAAACAAAAACAAAAACAAAAGCCAGCTTAAGCTGGCAATTGAAGGGAGGTAAAACAAGTCCCTATAGTTAATTGCCAAGAAAAGGGTGGATATGGAAAATAGTACAGGAATTTAGAAGAAGATAATTTAACAACAATTTTGGTTGTGGGCTTTGTGGAGAAGAATGATATGAACTGGATTTTGAGAGAATGGAGAGATTTGAAAGGCAAATAGATTGAAGTTATTCCATATAAGGGTAGAAATCTATCTCCATAATTGAAAATGAATCATGATGAAGAATGGGATGGGAGAGGGAGTGGGAGATGGGATGGTTGTGGGTGGGAGGGAGGTTATGGGGGAAAAAACCACTATAATCCAAAAGTTGTACTTTGCAAATTTTTATTTATTAAATAAAAGTTGAGAAAAAAAATCTATCTCCAACTCCCCTAGACAGTGTTTGAGATGAGTGTGGACTCTGTCACAAATAAAATTTATTCAATGAATAAAACAAAAGTAAGAAACTATGAGATTTACTAAGGATATATTTAGTTATTGCTTGGGCTGAAATGAAATAATCAAAATGTTAAATGACTGAAAGATAAGGCATTTGGTATATGTTGTAAACACCAATGGGTTTTATAAGGAAAAGTTTGTGTAAACTGTGTCAGATAGCTAACTGCTGCTATTTGCAATAGCTACTGCACATGGTGGCTTAGAAATGTCTTTTCTTTTTTGCAGAGAAAGCTCTCTCAGACACTTTGTCCACAGGAGGAACCTTATATTGAAATTGTGTATTTTATGGATCACTCCTCTCCTGTACTTTACTTAACCTGAGGGCAGAAAAGATCTGATTGTCTACTAAATATTCACAGTTCACTTTCATAGTATAGATTTGTCACTTGGAAGTGGCTGTCCAACTAGGACCTACATTTTCCAAACACCCTTGAGGATTTCTGAGACTATGGAGCTAGTTTTGGTCAATAAAATGTAGAAGAAAATTATCCTGTTGCCCTCACTCCATGAAAACCTCTGTGGGGTTTTCTGCTTCTGTTCTAACTGTGCCAGCTGGATGTTGATGGGCAGCCTGACTCCATAAGCATACCTTGAGAGTGACATAGATCTCAGAATGGCTGCTTCAGAACAGAACCTCTTTGCTACGCTCTCAAACAGAGACTTTACATACTGGAGAAACGGACTTTTGTTATATAAAGCCACCGGGATGTTGTCTGTTTCCTCTGATGCTGCAAGTAGCATTTACTTAAGAGACTAGTTGGTACCAGCAATCATTGTTCTATTGCTTATCTTTTAATGTGCTTAGTAAATTACCTTTCCTATGACACAATGTAATAAATTATTAAGTAAAGTAGACCACATACATTAGGTTCTTCAAAAAGAAAATACCAAGAATCAATTTTTGGCACTTTTAAATTACTTTATTTGAAATGAGATATTTTTTGATAAATGCGAATATGTTGAATTTATTAATTAATTGAAATAAAAATAGAGTTAATTTTAACACACACATCCTAAGGTGATTTATAAGGTGCAGATGACCTAGGCTGTCAGGGAGAGAACAACACCGAAAATGGAAACATCATTTTTGTTCAACAAGTTGATACGTTGATCTTGTGTCAGTCCATCATGATAGAGATGTGGCTTAGTCTATTTTCTCTCCCTGTAGCACAATACCCAAGGTTGGGTCATTTATAACAGGAAGAGGCTTATTTTGGCTCATAATTCTAGAGGCTGGGAAGTCCATGGTCTGGTGGCAACACTTGGTGAGGGCCACCAGCTGCTTCAGCTCATGGCAGAACGCAGAAGGGAAATCTGGCGTGTAGCAAAGAAGCAGTGTTCAGGGGCAACCTGGCTGGATAGAGTCCATTCTGCCTGTAACTAGGCCAGTTCTAGGAAAACAAGGATGCAGTCACATGAGAAAAATATTCATTCATCCATGAAGACTCTGCCCCATGACCCAAACACCTCCCACTTGGCCCTGTCTACCAGTACTACCGCACTGAGGCATTGTTTCCACAGATGAACTTCGGGGGACACACTCAGACCTCAGCAGGACATTTTCTTGTTTCTTCCTTTCGCGGTCTCCATTTTCCTTCCTTGATTTCCCTGCTTCAGTTCCCAGCCTTCCTGCTATCCCTTGCTTCTAGTTGGGGAACCAGAAGCTTCCTGTTAGCTTTGAGATAGGCCATTTTGGGATTCAGGAAACTAACACAGCAGGCCTACAGCAACTTAAAAGGACTTCTCAAATTGACTCTCCTTGGCAGCCTGTACCTCACAGAGCCCAAGACCATTCTGCGTTGTGGTGTTTCCTTTGATCCTGGCCCAACTCTTTGTCATTCTCATCCATAATTTTAAAATTCTTTCTCTGCTTTTCAGCTTCTTTCCAGGGACTCTCCCATTATAGATCCACAGCTGGTTTTCCAAGCAGTTGCCCTCAAATATTTAAGGAATGTAGGCCTTGTAGCCCTGTCTGTAATGATCAGCTGGTCAGCTACTCTGATAACTCTCTGTGACCTCCAGTTAGCCTTAACCCACTTTCAAAATCTGCAGTCCTTCTATTTATTTTCTTTGCTTTTTGCCCACATTTTCTCTTTCTACTCTTTTTCCTTCTCTTAGAAAATTGAGTCAACCATGTCTATTTCATAACCCACCACTGGGTTCATTTCAAAAGTCTAGCCTTGGAATTGAATATTTTAAAAGTAGAATTCTGTGTTCTTTATTTTTACAGTTGATTACTATTAGGCACATATCCGTCGGTGAAGTAGCAATTTCATAGTAGTGGAAATACCTAAGGAGTGAATAATCAAGTTGTCATTCTAATCTGTGAAGCTGGAAAGAGTAATTGAGCAGGTAGTATAACCCAGGAACACTGAATACTTTAAAAGTGTTTTAAATGATGATTAAGGATACCAAGCAAGATAAAGCAAATTCTCAAAATAGCAGATATAGAAATGAATGTCTTATAGAAGCTTTTTGATTATGATTGAGAAGTTTCATCATTTAGTTGGATGATGCCATTATCTAGACAAGTAATGTTTACCGGTAGTGAAAAAGAATAATTGTAAAAAATAATTCTGCCACTAGGTGGGTAAATTGCTTTACCTTGATGAACCTTGATTTACTAACCATCTATAAAATAGAAATAGTAACTGCTCATTCTACCTAACAGTATTGTTATGGAACTGATGAAATAACATATAAGGATACTTCAAAATGTTTATGGAAAATGGAATTAAAAGACAAGTTTATTTTGAGGTAAAAATATTGAAAACCATGTAAAAAGGTTTTCAAATTATTCA